TCTGTATTCCGCAGTATTCAGGTAAGTATCAGTCAACTCAGACATTAAGGATAAAGTGATTTACAAGACATTCATATAAGTGAAAAATGTAGTATAGTGTGAAAATCTGTCTCTAATCATATACGAGTTTTAAACGACTGGCAAAGCAAAAGAATAGAAAAAATCAAGAGTACTTAAACGGATGATATAACTCAAACATCAGTGCTTTGTTCCACTCTCGTTTTGTATAATAATCTTTCTTTTAGACTGGTAAAGGTAGGAGGGATTATCAAGGTATCATGAGTTAGATTCGAGAGGCATTGTGAAAGGTGATGCGAGTGTGAGCAAAACCCGTCAAAAATAGAACAGAACCAGTAAAAATCCTAAGAAACGGCGATCTATCCTAGGAAACTCTGCTTGGCTATATTTCTCATAAATCCTTACTAGCTTATTAGATGGTATTTGTATGCAGATTTTCTAACTTTACTTGGCTAATCTTATTATTCAACAAAATGAATAGCAGAAGCAGAAAAGCTGAAGCCCACTAACATAGTATCATAAGAAATATAATGGACAAGTTTACAGGGCTGCTAAGACCTAGCCCTACTGAGAGCAGAACCACTAAAGGCATTGCTTTAAAGGTCTATGAAATATTTGTAATGAAATGGACCCTTTAGGAATAGCAGCAAGATTTGCCTCCGACATTTTCAAACTTTGGAATTCGTCTAAATAGCAGTCTGTGAATTAGACAAACAAATTTAAAGTAAGTCGAACAATTAGCAATTATATATTGCCTAGTCAGATATTTTTTTTGTCATATCGGAGGCCATGACCTAAACATGCAGACTAGGACACACCTGTTCTTGGCCTCTACATAATTCTTTCTGCATAGTGGCAAGTGTTGTCTCAAGGTCTCGAGCATGCGCAGCGACCTCGGCCAACTGACGTTCAGTGACAACTGCGCTGGCGGCAGCCTTGGCAGCAGCTGCAGCATAGTTTGATGCAAGTCCGCCAGTAGCACCTCCTATTGCGTTGGCAATCAAAGCCTCATCTGTACAATTAGGCAGTTGGCCAGTGAGTTCATTTCCATTAAGTGGTGGCCCTCCAGGTGGCGCAGAAGAGGAGTTGTTGGTTGGTCCATTACTATTGGGAAGCCCAACAGAGGCTGAAGGCTCACCTAACTTTCCATTTGAGTTGTTGCACGTGTTTTCGGAAGTGACATTTCCAGCTTAAAAATCATAAAAGAGGGTAAGTTATAATCAAAAGTGATAATAGGAGACACCAATCATATGGTCTACATATAATCCACTACCATGTGTATATTATTGAATAAATCTATCCTAGCGAAACGAGAGAACAAATGTATTGGGAAAGTATGTATAAAAAGTGGATACTAGACGTGGCCATAG